ATGTTAAAACGTGGCCTTGCAAGAACACTAGACAGTCTTTTTTGTTTAAAAAGTCAACCTCATAATGCTGATGATAGTCGTTTCTGGACATCTCTATCAGTCTTTCCCAGACATCCGACTTCGTGTGACAGCGTGGCTTCTCAGAGGGTGGGTCCCCTTTATGTGAGACTGCCTTCTGATCCTGAGTTGTCTTTGACGGCCCCATGGTCCGGAGAGGGCCTCCAACGCAAGGCAAGGCGGTCTGCATGTCAGCTCCGGTGCCAGAGCGGTTCCCTGGAGGGCAGACGAATGATCTCGCGCAGGAACGGCCAAACGCCGCTTGGGCAATCTTTTATCCACCCATAAGCGACAACGTGTGTAACGCGACAGGAATAATAAGAGGGGCGAGGGAGGGGGGAGGGGGGGGAAGGGGGGGGGAGGGAAGGAAGGGGAACACATGCACATGCACAACGTGTGAAGCATGAAAACATCACGCCCTCAGAGAGTCTTTCCACCGCAACCGTGGTCGGCCGACGCTTCGTCTGGCAACCGTCCGGATCCACAGCGTCCACTTGGAGAGGGCCTCCAGATGTTTTCAATTGCCGAACTCTGGAGGAGGAGGAGGAGGAGGAGGAGGAAGAGGAGGGGGAGGAGGAGGAGGAGGAGGAGGAGGAGGAGGAGGAGGAGGAGGAGGAGGAGCCGTGTCTGTTTTACGACGCGAGGATGCCAGAGTTTCCCTCCTCCAGGCCTCCCGCGCAATTCGCGGGTGCCGCGGCGGCTGTGTGGCGCGCTTCTCGAGCCCAGCCTTTGGCCGTCGGCGGCGTTGCCGTTTGCACCAGCCGGCGCGTCGGTGCGATGCGGTGCGGTCCTCGCAGGGCTCGTTTCGATTCCTCCGATTCTACTCGATTCGATTTCGATATGGCTTCCGATTCCGATTCGATTCGGCTTCGGATTCCGATTTGGGCTCCGATTTCTGAATGGAGTCTTGCTAGCCTACCGACTTCCGCCGATTGGACTTTTCCCGACTCGGCTTCCGACTTCGTCCGATCCGATTGATCTCGATTGCCGATCCGACTTGTCGATTCGATTCTGGGCTCTCCTGTCCTCGGGCCCGATCTGTTCAGGCATCGTGCGTCAATGGTTCAAATGTGGAATCCTGAGGGACGGGGTCCTGAGGATACGAAGGGATCCCGAGCTGGATTTGCACTGTTGAGGCACCTCGTCCTCAGGACCGCATCACTCAGGACCCCATCTTTGAGCCACCGATTGCGGGCGGCCTCGCCATGAAGGAGCGAAGTGCTGGGATGTATCCACGTCCACCGCCAGGGGGAGAGATCTTCGGGGACCTCGGCAGGCGGTGGACATGGACAGATCTACCCGTCCCTTGGCCCCAACACAGCCGTAATTACCCACCGTCCGCCGATGGGGGGCCGAGAACTGACCAGAACATCCCGCCGCTGGTTTCTCAACACGCGAGGGGGTCTGGGATCCCCGACCCATGGTCTGGGAGCGAGGATCGCCTCGGGCGCGGGGCGCGGTATAGGTACCCTTGGTCGAAGTCGGGCCTTGGTATAGGTACCCTTGGTATAGGTACCTTGGTATAGGTACCCTTGGTATAGGTACCTTGGGATAGGTACCCCTGATCGGGGCTTGGCCTTGGTATAGGTACCTTTCGTCGAAGTCGGGCCTGATCCCGCTGGGCCCCGATCAATCTGGCCCACAATCCTCGGCTCGATTCGGACCAGCCCGGCTTGATGACACCTCTCGATCGGTCGCAAGATTCCTGTATCGGTCCCGCCAAAATCAGAAGGGACAAAAAAACAGGCACAATTAATCGTCGATCCCCTGGGAAAATGTGGGAAAGCATGGGAAGTGGGGGGGAAGACGAAATTCCAGAAAATATGGGAAAATGTGGGGAATCATTTTATTTAATCGCTTCGCTAATTCCGCTGGCCCTGGAGCGCTATTTGGGCCCTCTTGGGGCCGTCTTGGGGTCTTCTTGGGGGCTTCTTGGGAGCGTCTTGGGGCTCCTTGGCGGCGTATTGGGCTCCCCTGGGGCCTCTTGGGGGGCTCTTGGGGGCACCTTAGGGCGGGAGGGGGGGTAGTCGTTGGCAGCCCCCCCCTCGGAGGCCACGATCCTCGTGAGGGGTGGCGAAAAATAGCCTCCCCGCTGGGGATCGCCCGGGGATCAGCCGGGGATCGGCCCGGGTACTTTTCGTCCGGGGCCCCCCAGGGGCCGCCCCGCGCGCGCGAATTAGAAATATTGTTAAGCAGTGACCGGAGATCTTAACACGCCTCTGGCCCGTTGGGCCAGCGAATTTGTGTGTATCTGTTTGTGTGTCCCAGGCCCCTTCACTCAGGATCTCTCGCGGGTTGCCTCCCCCCTCTTGGCCAAGTTCTTGATGCCTACCGGTCGTGCTGCCCGGGTCCGTTCGTCCGTTCGTTCCTTCGCAGTGGCGGTTCTTTCGTTCGTGGTATCCCTCGGACGTGTGTTTTTTCTCGGCGGGGACTATTCAGGAGCATCCTGGATCACCCTGGTGCCGAAGACCCAGACAAGACAAGGGGATTATCAGGGAGCATCCTGGACCATCCTGCGAAAAGGCCACGCACGAGACCGACAAAAAGCGCGGGGACGGGACTTCCGAGCGATGGCCAGTCGTTCGGTCGGTCGTCGGCCTGGACGATGGTCTCTAGGCCTCCTAGATGGGGTCGGAGCAGGTGGGGTCGGAGGATCGCGCCGCATCGCCGATGCATCGCCGATGCGGCTCGGTGCGGAGCCCGATTTTCTCTACGCCGACGTCGCCAATGCATCGCCGACGTCGACGATGCATCGCCTGTGCATCACCGATGCATCGCCGATGTATCGGCGATGCGGCGCGATCCTCCGACCCCATCTATTCCGCCCCCATCTAGGAGGCCTCTATTGTCCGCACTGGCGGTTCGTTTGGTCGTTCACGCGTTGCCTCCCAGGCTCGCCCCCGATCGTCGCAGAGCTGAGCACTGCTGGTCTTGTCGCCCGGGCTTACCTCGCAGGCCTGTGTGCCTGCTGCGGAGTCGGTGCGCGCGGCGCCCCCGACTGGACCCTTGGCATCGCTCGGACGTGTGCATTTTTCTTTCGGCGAGGACCATCTAGGAGCATCCTTGATCACTTGGCGAAAAAGCCACGCACGGAACCGAAAAAAGCACAGGGAATGGACGTCCGAGCGATGGCCAGGACCGGCCTGCTGCGGCACCCGCTCTTTGCTGCCTCAAAGGGGCGGAGCGGTCGCAGCGTTGCGCAGCGAGACGACGAGGAGGTGCCTCCCAGTCCCTGGGCTAAATCTCCTCAGCTCCGATCGATCGGGGGGCCGCAAACGGTGCGGTGACCACGCCGCGTGGTGAGGCGGTGGGGATCCGTGGTCACCTCACGGTCTTGGGGCTCGGGTCGCTCTCCGAGAGGACATCCGGGCGCCTGCCAGGACCTTGCGGCGACGGACCGCGGGGCGAGGTCCGGTAGAGGAAACGATTAGTAGACACCCCCCCTGCCCCCCAGACTCAAGACCCTTTCATTTCTAACTTCATTTCGTTTCTAGTTTTTCTAATGTTTCTATCCTGGGCCCCTTCCTGGCCACTAGGGGGGCCAGGAACAACTAGAAACGAGCACTATTAGAAATGAGCACGATTAGAAATGAACGACCGGTAGAGGGAAACAACAAGTAAACGCCCCCCCCTGCCCCCCAGACTCAAAGTTGGCACGCGTGGGGGAGACTGCGGTCGAGGTGCAATTCATCAGACCCAGCGCCGACTTTGAACATTGGGGGGAGGGGGAGGCGTTGACAGATGAACGCGGCATGAGTGTTCGCTATTTTTTTCCGGGGCCTGTCCCTGCTGGGGATTCCGAGGTTGCCACGCGGTCCGTCACCAGACGAAAGTTGTATCTGGGCCCCCGAACAAGAAGAGAGGAGGCTCTTTCTGGTCCAACTGTTCTTGACAGTCGGACCAGGGCATACGAGGAGGACGAGGAAAAGGACGAGGAGGAGGGGAGGATGAGGAGGAGGAGGAGGAGGAGGAGGAGTATGAGGAGGAGGAAGAGGAGGAGGAGGAGGAGGAGAAGGAGGAGGAAGGGGAGGAGGAGGTTCGGGGAGGTTACCTTGATGTTCTTCGTGCCTGCTGGATGTTCTCGTGCGCCCAGGGGAGGGTACCCTTGGACGCTCTGTTTGCTTGGGCCGACGGAGGGTCTTATGCTCTTGAAGGATCCTCGACGCCACCGAGCGCGCCACGATGCACCCGCGATGCATTGGAACATCGACGACCTCTGCCCGGAGAAGACCGGGCTCCGGCTCGGGAAGCATCGCCGACGCACTCCCATGCAATCTGGGCCCTCGTGGGCGGCATCGGCTGACGTGGCCAGCGGCCGTGCTGCCCCCAGCCCTGCCCCTTCCCCCGACAATCGAAGGTTGATAGATCTCCTGCCCTGACACGTCGATTAGCGAATTGGCCGTTTTCGGTTCGCGAGAGGGCATCGCGGCCGTCGCTTTTGCGGGTCCGGGTCCGTCGGCTTCGGTCCCAGGCCGCTTTTCTCTAAAGGGAGGTTTACTAAAGGGAGGATTGTCCACCGCCGAGATAATCGGGCCTGACGAAAGGGGGGGATTGGGAAATGGGGGGTTACGAAATCTGCGGCATGCAGCCGGTTTCGGCCCCGCCGCTGGGCCCATTCCTCGATACATAGCCGCCGGGGAAATCAGCTACGTGAGCTGCCTCTCACCCCCCCCCCTTTGCTGTCCCCCCCTTTCGCCCGCCCCGAGTTTATTACAGGGACTTGGCATCGCTCGGACGTGTGCATTTTTCCTTCGGCGAGGACAATCTGGGAGCATCCTTGATCATTTGGCGAGAAAACCGCGCACGAAACCGAACAAAGCACAGGGAGTGGACGTCCGAGCGATGGCCAGGGGGGGTCTGCCCACCGCCGAGATGAGCGATCGAGGACCGCCGCGGTCCGGGCGCTGCGGCGCGGGGTGTCGGCGCGGCGCGCCGCGCCCCAGCAGCAGCTGCACGGGCGGCGAAGACGACGCCGACTCGGGCTCCTCGCTGGACGGGGCGCCGATGGGGAGGAGGACCCCCTGCGGAGGGCATCGCTACGGGGGGGGGGGACAGGCTCTACAGTCGGGGCCCTGAAGAAGGAACCCTTTTCGTTGGGGAGGGGCTTCGCGTTCCTGAAGTGTTTCACAGCTTGCCTCAGGCTTTCCGTAGGTGTTCGATGGGAAATCGAAGGTCAACTTGTGGAAAAAAGGGGCCTCGTTCCTTCTTTAGGGTTCCTTAGGTCAACGCCCCGACTGTACGGGGGGGGGGGCAGGCTCTACGGTCGACCCGGATTAGGGGGTCGGCCCTGCCAGATCAAGGGTGCCTTTGTGTCCCGTGTCTCGCGATCCATGCCTCCCACATTCCTGCGGCAATGTGGCCCTCCGAAGGGTCTTGTGTCCTCTCGCGTGCCCGGTCCAATCAAGTCTGGCTCTGGAGGGGACGGCAGGTTCGAGGTTGGAGGTTTGGGGGCGTCCCGGGTCGACCCGAGCGGCCGCCGCAGGCCCGAGTTGATGACGGTTTGCGACCCTTCGGAGCAGGGGCAGCGCAGGCGGGGATGGGCTTAAGAGGGGATGCGTCGACCCCCAATCGACCAGCCATCGTCAAGGGGGGCCCGGCGCCCGCCCCGCCTTGGAGCGTGAGGTCTCGCTATTATAGGTGGCCCATCGCCGATGCGTCGGCGAGGCGTCTCCCCGCTATAGGCTGGTCCCCCCCTCCGAGCTCGATGTTTCCCCGCCCCCCCCCCCCCACCCCACCGGGCTCCCCCCTCCGAGTTCTCCCTCTCCGAGCTCCCCCCTCCGAGCTCGATGCCCCCCCCCCTCTCCGAGCTCGCCTCCCCGAGCTGCCCCCCCCCCCTCCCCCATCCGAGCTCGGCGTCGCCCGCCGATGCAAGCTCGATGCCCCCCCCCCCCCCCCCCCGAGCTGGTCTTCCCCCCCACGGGGCCCCCAGGAGGAGGAGGAGGCGGAGGAGGAGATCCACCGCCCCAGCGGGCACGGGGCGGCGGTCGCGTCGCGTCGGCGCAGCGGCGCTCGGGTCCGCGTCGGCCCCGAGGGCTTGGGCGCCTCGTCGCCAAGCGACCAGTGGGGATCAAGCCAAATGAATCAAGGCTCAGGGAAGGAGAAGGTTCCCGCTGCTGCTATCCTCGGCACGCTTTCCCCCTCTCGTGGGCCTCCTGGAAGGCCCTCGTCGCCACCGCTGGATCTGCCTCGAACTCCTGGTCAAGTCGCGCCCCGGGAGAAGTCCAGGCTTTGGCAGTCTCGCGTCCTTGTGGTGGTTCCAAAGCGGGATACGTCGATGCAGGTGCAGAGAAGTCTAGGCAAGCCGAGGTGCACCCTGGCAGAGCCAGGCAAGTCCCGGCCAAGCCGAGGATCTCCAGCGCGATGGCCGAGCCGATGGGGGCTGCAGTGGGCGACAGGCTCATGGGGGAGGGGGGAGCATCGCCGATGGATCGGCGGTAGGCCCTGGATGGGGAACCCTCGCGCCTCTCAGCAGAAGGCTCCCCCCGGCCCTGATAAAACGACGCGAAGATCGGGACAAAATCGGATCGGGATAATTCGAAATCTCTGAGAATCGGCGGGTTTGGAGGATGTATTGAGCGCCGCGGCCGCTCCAGAGCGTTCCGGAACGCTCTGAGAGCGCTCCGGAACGCTCTGGAGCGATTTATCCAGATCCTAGCCTTGTTTTACTCGATGGAGAACCCTCGCGCCTCTCAGCAGAAGGCCCCCCCCGGCCCTGGTCGGCGAGGAGAGGGCGATTGTTGGGAACCCCCAAACCGGGTGGTGAGATACCAGGTGGCGACCTGGAATCCCCAAAAAGGTCACCGCTGGGTTTGGGGACGCGGGGTCACCACCGGGTTTTGTGACTCCTGGACCCACCAGTGTCCGGGACATCCTCGGAAAACCGCACGAGTCCCCAAACTGGGTGGTGACACCAAATCGCCCGAGACTCACCGCAAGGTGTTGTCACCACCACGTTTGGGGACTACCAAGATTGGATGTCGATACACGCGATGGCCGAGTCGACATTCGGAGCAGATCGTGGCCGCTCCAGCGCGAGTCGAGTGCTTACCGAGTGCGATGCGGTCGGTCCAGTTCGGTGTGGGGTTGGCCGGTCCGACGTCGCTTTTTTCGCCTCGAGGCTCCAGGCCTCCCAGCTGGGTTCCAAACAGCTGGGGTGCCAGGAGGGAAAACACACACAGACACAATGAATCGTCGATTCCTTAGAAAAGATGGGAAAACATCGGAAGTGGTGGGGAAGACAGAAACCCAGAACAGATGGGAAAGTAATATGGGAAATTCCTGTTATTTGTGTCTATTTATTTGGGTGTCCCAGGGCCACTCCAGGGTCGGAGGATCGCGCCGCATCCTCGATGCATCGGCGATGTGGCTCGATGTGGATCCCGAGTTTCTCCACGCTGGCGACGCCGATGCCTCGCCGACGTCGCAGGTGCAATCCTCCGACCCCATCTGCTCGGACCTCATCTGGGAGGCTTCTGAGAGGCCCCAGAGATCCAGCGTGCTGAAACAGAGCAAGACGGCGGCTTTCTCAATCTTCGGGCTCCAGAGGCCTTCGCCGCAAGGCCCCAGGGCCGTTACAAGAACGACTTTCCGGGGCCGCGGCGCGCTCGAGCAGTGCCGATGCAGCGGCGTTTGGGCCCATGTCCTTGGCATCTCTCGGGCGTGTGCGTTGTTCTCGGCGATGCCAGCGCCAGCACTTTGGACCAACATTTGGATCATCTTAGAAGAAAACACACGCAGGAAACCAAGCACTTCTCTGGGAATGGACGTCCGAGCGATGGCCCGTTCGGTCCGGTTCGGTGTCGGGTTGGCCCAGCCTTAAGTCGGGCACGTCCGTCTACAGGAGCAACTTTCAAAAATCTTCAGAAATCATATGGGAACGATTGTTCTATTATTGTTGGACTTTTTTGTTTAGCAGTTGTCTTGACTATTTTTCCTCTTTCGTCCCAGATCTGCCTGTAGGAGGACATGCCCGACCGAAGCCCAGCCCAGTCGGATGCCGCTCTTTTTCGCGACGAGTCCCCGCAGAGGTCCAGGCCTTTTTCCCCGGGGACGGGCTCCTCATCCCGACTCCCGAGCCGCTTCTTTGGACGGCCCCGCGGCTCGGCAAGGACCCCACAGCAGGCCGAGCATTGCAAAAAGCAGGTAAGGTCCGTCGTGCCCAGACCATCGTCTTCTTGCCTCGGCGGCGGGTGGTGCGAGGGGGGCGACCTCCTCAAAAACGCAGGGGGGGGCTGTTAAGAAAGCAGGCGGCTTCTCAGAAGCCCTCCCGGCTTCTCGGAAGCCTGCCTAGAATGAAGTCGGGCCTGTCCCTCTACAGGGGGAATGTCCAAGAATAATATTTAAAAAAAACAGTTTGGGGGCCATTTCTTGAGCATTTTTAAATTATGTTTGAGTCTGTTTGGGTGTTAAATATATATATATATATATATATATATATGCACATATATATACATATATACATACATACATATATATATATATATAATATATATATATATATATATATATAGCCGCACCGGGCCCGGGGGCCCCGGGGCCGCAGCCTCGACCGCAAATGGGGGGACGTCGGGCCCAGCCCGCTCCCCGGCGGGCCCCAGGTCGGCCCCAGGAGCGCCCAGACGACCGTCCAGGCGGCCCCAGGCCGCCCACAGCCACCCTGAAGACAACCTCCAGCGGTCTCCAGCGGCTCAAGAGGCGTCTCGAACCGCCCCAGACACCTCCAAGACGCTCGAAGACCCCTCCAAGAGATCCCCCCAGACGGCCCCGGGAAGCAAAAATAGCCCCTTTCCCTTCGTAAAACGTACATGTTTACCATATTCGATGTTTTGTCCTTCGTACCGTCCTTTACGACCGCAAACTCTCCCTAGACCGCCCCAAGACGGCCCACGAAGCCCACAAGAGAGCCCCAAGACGGCCCCAGAGGGGCCCAGGACAGTCCAATAGGCGCCCAGGACGGCCCAAACGCGTCCCCGAAGGGCCCCAAGAGGGGCCCAAGACGGGAAACCCAACTGAACCTTCCAGCCCCCCCGCCCCAGGAGGCCCCCAAGAGGCCCCTAAGAGACCCCCAAGAGGCCCCAAGAGGCCCCCGAGACGCCCGCGGCAGGCCCCAAAGGGCCTCCAGAGGCCCCCCAAGAGGCTTCCAAGAGGCCCCCCGAGGTTCCCAGGAAACCCCCTGGAGACCCCCAAGAGGGCCCCAACGGGCTTCTGAGAGGCTTCCCCAGAAACCTTCATGTACGTCTACATGCGGCCTCCGGTCCAAAAACTTGAGACCGTTCCTGGGACGCCGCCGGGGCCGCCAGGCTCCAACAGCCAATTGAGGAAGCACGAAGAACCCCCCAGAAGCCCTTCAGATGCCCCCTCGAAGACCCAAGAGGTTCCCAAGAGGCCCTCAGGAGGCACGACTATGTCACGCGCCTGTGCTTGATAGCGCTGTCCAAGATCTTCTAGCGCGCCCCCGGCCTGGGCTAGAACCTGAGCGCGCGCGAAGCGCGCGCGATGGTTCCAGTATGTATATATATAGAGAGAGAGGGAGAGTAACAAAAAATCCGCCTGTAGGGGGACATGCCCGACCTAAACCTAGCAGCTTCCAGGATAGTTGCTGAGCCTCTGTCCCGGCCCCCCTCAGCGGTGCGGTGACCGACCGTGCGGTGGCCACGAAATCCCGAGAGACCTCAGCGCACGGTCTTCGGAGGCCCCAGTCTTGAGTCGGACCTGTCCCTCTGCAGGAGGAATATTCAAAAATAGTCAAATTAATAGTAGAGGGACTATTTGTGAGTATGTTTGGGCTTTTTTGTTTTTAATCTGTCGCACAAAATCCGCCTGTAGGGGGACAGGCCCGACCTAACCCCAGTCGCCCGAGAAGTCCTCGGAGAAAGGCTCGAGTCCCAAAACCGTGCGGTGACCCCGAATACCCACCGACTCACCGCACGGTGTTCTTTCCTCCCTCCGCTCCTCTATGGGTACGGGTGCGCGCGCGCGTGTGTGTGTGTGCGTATGTGTGTGTGTGTGTGAATGTGTGTGTGTGTTTGTGTGAAAATGTGCGTGTGTGGATGTGTGTGTGTGTGTTTGTGTGTGCGTTTGCGTGTGCGTGTGCGTGTGCGTGTGCGTGTGCGCGTGCGTGTGTGTGTGTGTGTTGTTTGTTTGTTTGTTTGTTTGTTTGTTTGTTTGTTTGTTTGTTTGTTTGTTTGTTTGTTTGTTTGTTTGTTTATGTGTGTGCGTGTGCGTGTGCGTGTGCGTGTGCGTGTGCGTGTGCGTGTGCGTGTGCGTGTGCGTGTTCGTGTGCGTCTGCTTGTGCGCGTGCGCGTGCGCGTGCGCGTGCGCGTGCGTGTGCGTGTGCGTGTGCGTGTGCGTGTGCGTGTGCGTGTGCGTGTGCGCGTGCGTGTGCGTGTGCGTGTGCTTGTGCGCGTGCGCGTGCGCGTGCGCGTGCGTGTGCGTGTGCGTGTGCGTGTGCGTGCGCGTGCGCGTGCGCGTGCGTGCGCGTGCGCGTGTGCGTGCGCGTGCGTGCGTGCTTGCGTGTGTGTGTGTGTGTGCGTGTGTGTGAGTATGTGTGTGTATTGCTCGTTCGTCACTGTCGCTCGCAAATCACGGATCGCTCGATCGCGTTCAGAGTCAAAGAAGGGTCCTTTCTTCCTAGCACCCCCCTCTGCCCGTTTCCTTGCGAGGCCGCCCGCCTCGCCACGTCCGCCGCCCTGCTCGTCCGCCACCTCCGCCTCGTCGTCGTCATCTTCCTCCTCCAAGGTACGCAGCCTCCTCATCGTCGTCGTTCCCCTCCTCTTCGTCGTCCTCGTCCTCATCCTCCTCCTCGTCTTCCTCCTCGTCGTCCTCGTCGTCCTCGTCGTCGTCCTCTTCCCCCTCCAAGGTACGCAGCCTCCTCGTCGTCGTCGTCCTCTTCCTCTCTTCGTCGTCCTCGTCCTCCTCCTCCTCGTCTCCCTTGTCGTCGTCTTCCTCGTCGTCCTCTTCCTCCTCCAATTGCGCTCGGATGTCAGATGTGACGCTAGCGCACCTGGCTTGTCGTCCCCCCCCCTCCCCCGCTCGCCCTCGTCCCGCCTGCCGCCGCCGCCCGCCGCCGTCGCAGTGGTGGTCGTCGTGGTGGTGGTGATCGCGATGGTGGTCGTGGTCGTGGTGATCGTCGTCGTTGTGGCCGTCGCAGTGGTGGTCGTCGTGGTGGTCGTCGTGGTGGTCGTCGTGGTGGTGGTCGTGGTGGTCGTCGTGGTGGTCGTCGTGGTGGTCGTCGTGGTGGTGGTGGCCGTGGTAGTCGAAGTGGTGGTGGTCGTCGTCGTCGTGGTCGTCGTCGTGATGGTCGTGATGGTTCCCGATGCCGAAGAGGACGTAGAGGAGGACGTAGAGGAGGCCTGGGGTCGGGAACCAGACCAGCTCGGGCCACAGTGCAAAGTGTTCTTGGGGCAGGCGGAGGCGGGGCTGGAAACGGGCGAGAACGGGACGACCGAACAAGCAGTGGGCAGACCCCCGAGCGGAGAGGGTTTGGCGCGTTACCTTGTTCCACTCTGGACGGGGCGCCCCGCGAGGCATCAAAGAACCTCAGGGTGGCCCAATACGCCTCTCGTGGCGGTGGTATTGGCATGGTCGCCGTGGTCTTGGTCGTCGTCGTGGTGGTCGTCGTCGTCGTCGTTATCGTCGTCGTCGTCGTCGTGGCCGTCGTGGTCTGGTCGTCGTGGTTGCCGACGTCGTCGCCGCCGCCGCCGCCGCCCCCATCCGCAGGAGCACGGGCCGCAAGAGCACGGGCGGCAGGCGCCCCCGTCGCCCCCCGCGCACGCCTTTTTTTCCCGAGGGCCGCCTCTGCTGTTCTGGGAGACGCAAGACTCGGGGGCCCCCAAACGGGGTGGTGACTCACCACACCGTGTGGTGAGTCGGTGGGGATTCGGGGTCACCGCAAGGTTCTGGGACTCGATCGAGTCCCTCTCCGGGGATGTCTTGGGCGACAGAGGCCTCCAGGGTCCCAAGACCGTGCGGTGAGGTCTCTTGGGGTTCCGAGGTCACCGCACGGTCTGTCACCACAAGGTTTTGGAATCCCCAAAAGACTCCGGTTCGCTGAATTGGGATTTGCCAACACGTTGCGGCGTCGATCGAGGGGGGGAAGTGAGAAGGGGCGGGCCTTCTCAGAAGGCTCGGAAGTCCTCCAGCCTTCTGGGAAGTTTCCGAAGCCTTCCCCGAAGACAGACAACTTCTCAGAAGGCGCGGGGGCTTCTGAGAAGCTCATCGTTCTTCTGACGACCCCGTCGGACCAATTCGACTCCTCCAAATTCGAGTCTTACGTTAGGTTTGTGCGGCGTGGGCGCGTTGGCGACGTTCGCGAAGGCGTTCAAAGTTGAATTCTGCGACGCGGAAGTACCGAGGGACACGCGGATGGATTCAAGGCTGAACGATCTCGCGCTCTCAGAAACCTCTGCACGCGCCGCTGCCTCACGAACCAACCGCACGTCTCTCCCATCTGTGCCTCCTCCTCCTCCTCCTCCTCCTCCTCCTCCTCCAGCTCCTCTTCTTCCTCCTCCTCCTCCTCCTCCTCCTCCTCCTCCTCCTCCTCCTTCTCCCCCCTCCTCCTCCTCCTCCTCCTCCTCCTCCTCCTCCTCCTCCTCCTCCTCTTCCTCCAGATATTCGTTCTCTTCCAGCTCCAGCTCCTCCTCCTCCTCACGAGCACCCCCAGTCGCGCGGGTGGTGCAGGATCCTGTCCACCGGCTGGAGCGGGCGCAGGCGAGGGGCGCCTAGGCCCCAGGCACGAGGCGGAATACGTGCTGTCAGCCTTGGTACTGTTCTTCGTTGCCGGCCTGGGCACGACAGGTTCGTGCGGTGTGGGCGTGCCAGCGGCGCCAGCGAAGGTGCTCAACGACGCGGAACCATTGGGGGGCTCGGTGACGCCACAGGACCTGACGGAAGTCACCTTTGCACGATCGGGGCCGCGATCGGGTCAAGATGGAACGATCGACGAGGTGTCCAATGCTGCTGCGCGCGCCGACGCCGCACGATCCCACCGCAGGGTTTTATGCGGGGCTTGGGGCCAACAGAGATAGGCTTGGGATGAAGAGTCACCCCCAGGGTTAAGGCGGGCCTGTCCCCCTACAGGGGGACTTTCGACGAAAAATAAAAAATACCCCCAATATAGTCAAACCATAAGTATTAAAAACAAATAGTCTGGGGATTCTGTTTTGACCATATTTTTGCAATTTTGGCACATGTTTGGTGTATTTTTTATTTTTCGTCGAAAATCGGCCTGTAGGGGGACAGGCCCGACTTAACCCCAGGGGATGGGTCGGGACGTCTCCCGAGGTCTGAGCGTGGCATCTTTGTTCGCTGCGGGCGACTTCTCGCCTTGGTCCCTGGCCCCACGTCGGACCGATCCGGCTCGAGAAGCGCCGCAGGAAGTTCGTGTGCAAGCTGCCGGTCGTGCTATGGCACGGGGCCCTGCAGAAGGAACCCTTTTCGTTGGGGAGGGGCTCCGTGTTCCTTTGAGTGTTTCTCAGCTTGCCTCAGGTTTTCCTTATGTCTTCGACGGGAAATCGAAGTTTAACCCATGGAAAAAAGGGGGGCCGTTCCTTATTTAGGGTTCCTTTGGTCAACGCCCCGACTAGAAAAAGGCGACATCGGATCTCAGAGACGGGCGAGGCGGTTGACGGACAGAGTCCTGCGCAGCCTCTCTCGGCTGCTGTCGCCACTCCCCCCACGCTCGCGGTTTCATGTTGGCGGGCTGCGGCGAAGTTTGTCGAGCGTTCGACTGGCCTAAACTTTGCGTCGGCATCACCCGAACACCCACACACACTCACGTGCGCGCCCCCCCCCCAAATGGGCGACGCGCGCGCCGACAAATCTTACGGTACGTGCTCTGTGGCCGGTGCTTTCTGGCCATACCGCCCGAGTAATGATACGCCAGAAGTTGTGTCTACACCTTAGGCGATGCTTAAGAAAACCTCAGTTTTCGTCCAGAGTCTCGATTATTCTTAACTTTTGAATGTAAATCCCAAGATTTTGATAGAAGTTCTGGGTTTTAGTCAATTTTCTGAGGCTATGAATTTCTTAACCCATGATTTCTTAAGCATTTCGCAGGGTGTACGCCAGAAGTTGTGCCTACTGCAGGTTCGGTGCGGGCGGGCGCCTCCAGGGGGCGCGCACGGAATCCGTAGTATCCTCTGCGTCTCGTGAGGCCCCGCGGTCGAAGCCAATCAATCCACATTGGACCAGGGGCTCCTCCTCCTCCTCCTCCTCCTCCTCCTCCTCTTCCTCCTCCTCCTCCTCCTCCTCCTCCTCCTCCTCCTCTTGTTCCTGCTCCTGTTTCTGCTCCTGCTCCTGTTCCTGCTCCTCCTGGACCAGGGGCAGGGGTCAGCCACGCGCAGAGGGGGGGGGAGGGAGGGGCTCGGGCTTCCTAGAAGCACCTCTGCTTCCTGGAAAGCGCGGGCCTCATCTGTAGGTGTGGAGCCCGGCGCCTTCTAAGAAGCAGCTTCCTTCTGAGAAGACTGTTTCCCCCGCCCCCTGGCCCCCCCCTGCTCGCGCCGCCAAGCGGGGCTGCTTCGAAGACAGCGCGAGCACCCCAGTCGAGCGGGCGCTGCAGAGCTGTTGTCCACCAGCCATAAGCGGGAGAGCAGGCGGAGGGCGATCGGACCCCAGGCATGGTTTTTGGTTTTCGAGCGTACGCAGATGTGTCTACTTACGCATATAATATACGAACACAGTGGATGACACACAGATGCATACATATATATATATATATATATATATATATATATATATATATATATGTGTACAACTATCTATACCTATACATATGTATATATATACATATCATAGCATCTCATGTTCCCACTCTCGGAGCTGTCTTTGGGCAGCCTTGAGCGCCTCTGGGGCTGTCTTGGAGCCATCTTGGGCCTCTTCAAGCGGCCTTTGGGGCCTCCTGGGGCAGCCGTGGAACATCGGAAGCTCGAAATGTCGAGGACCCAACAAACATTCTGAATAACCCAAGGACAATCAATGATTTTGGCCTCTTGGGGCCCTCTTTGAAAGAGGCTCTTGGGGCTCTCTTGGGGCGGCTCGAACGCTCTTTGGGCCGCTTTGGGGCCAGATTGGGCATCTTAGACCGATCGTGCGGCAATTCGGAGCCCTGTTGGACCGTCTGGGCGGCCATATTGGGCCCTCTGGGCCAGCCTTGGGGTACTCTTGTGTCCGAAATCACGCGACAACACGCGGGAAGCCGCAGGAGTTTTGAGAATTTGAGGTCCGGGCTCCTTAAGTAATCCTCAGGAGTAAGGACTGAGGCAGAAATAACTAGACCAAGGACCTGAGGGCACTTCAACTCATGCCTCAAGGGCACGGTGGCGGATGACTCTAGTTCGGCTTCCGGGGGCTGCGCTTTGGCACCCAGGAGCATCAACGATGACATGTGGACGATCGATCCGATTCGGTATCGATTCTGGCCGGCACGATCCGGCCAGCGATATGATGTTGCCCGGTGGTCGCATGGCGTTGTTGTGCATCGTGGCGCGTCCGATCCGATTCGATTTCTATCCCGTGCCGGTGCAGCCTGCTACGATGCACATTCCGATCCGAGCCGGTGTCCTGATTCGACTATGATTGATGTTGCTTCCTGCCATCTATTGGTCACAGTGTGGACCTCGCTTGCGACTTCGTCTCCAAATTCGTGGCCCGGGTTCTAGAATTGCGGAACGCACTGGCGGAGTGTGGCTCATGTTCAAGATGAAGCTCTCGCCTGACGTGTTTGAAGCCGACGGTTCTGGCCAGACGTGTGACCGTGTAAGACAGGTACAGCGGTCGAAGGCGGACCTATCTCCAGCCATGATGCATACGTGGCCTTCGGCCCATTCCGCCGCCGTGCCCGTGTCGTGGACCAGAGGCCTCTTGAACCCCGTTCGGGGCCTCCTGGAATTCCTCTTGAGACGCGACACGAGCCTCGGCTTCTGTCGATCCCAGACGTCCGATCTGTTTTGGTGTTTTTACTGTTTTGTCCCCCCCCCAGACGGCACCGCGGAGGTCGATACGACGGAGTCACGCCAGCACCGACAAGATCGCGACGACGGCGGTTCGGACCCCCTTTCCGAGGAGCAAGAAGTCATGATAGTTATACGTTCCAGTATTCCAGGTTTTCTCATGATCTGCGCGGGCTCCATAGACGAGGGCCGCCGACCATTCAGGAAAACGTGGAGCGCATCCTGAGCCGATCGCATCATGACGTCGCTCTCGTCCTACCACACATCGATAAACGGGCCCGCTGCATGTCGCCGTGTTGTACGTATTGTTCCGCCGATCGGCACGGGCATCAGCCCCCCCCCACCCCATAGACCAGCTCCTGGCTGCTTTTGGCGGCTCCTCGTGGCGACTCTCGGGGCCCCTTCCCCCCAATTAGCTGTACGCGACTGGCGGAAGCAGATCGACAAAGCACCGGCCCAGTTCCGGACCCCCCCTCCCCCCCACGATGGATCCGGGCCGTTTGCTGCACAGAGTGGTGGACGTCCCGTGAGCCGGCATACGTTTCACAGGCCTGAATATGTGAGTGATCTTCCTTGTCGAGGCCACGGCCTCCACGCCATGCCCTCATGGGCACGGGCAAGCTCGACGGAGGAGCGCGCACGACTCGGGCGTTCGCTTCGCTTCGCTTCGGCCAAAGGACGAGACCCAGGATAAGAGAACGCCTGCCATCTCCGATTCGAAGTCACTTCCCCCTCTCCGAGCCAGCCCTCCTGCGTCTGGGCCCGCCCGGAGCCCCCGACCCTCCGGCCTCGGGCCACGAT